CAGGGTCAAGCTACAATGGTGCTGACACCAGAAAACCATTCATGACATCTTACCTTTACAGACGTACCAAAAGTTTCTTCTTAAATCTAATAGCTGTGAGGCTATAAGTGATTTACTTTTGTGTGTTTTTGTCAGGCAGAAATGTATTTATACCCCCTTAGGGTGTAAGAGGTTAACTATGAAGTCAAACTATGTTTATCAAACAATTCCCAACAAATGTTAAATCGTTGTTTGTCTTGTAAGCATCTTATCATATTTTAACAGCCAATACATTTATTGGGAGCTCAGCCATGCAGAGCGAGGACCAGGAACTGCAGAGCGAGGACCAGGAAGTTGGAGTATATTCAGAAGCTGACGCTTGTCATGTGTGGAGAGAGAATAAGTTCCCTTATTCATGTGAATCCAGGCAAGCTGCCAAAGCAGCGGGGTTACTGATTGAAAAAAAAAAAAGGCCACAATTTGCAGGCTTTTAACATTCTGCTGTAGCATCTAGTCTTGTTTTTCTACAAGCAGCAGCAACAACAACATCTTAGAGTTGAACAGGTTTTGCCTCATTTTGAATCCAACATGGTGGAGATTTTACAGAGAGGTGCTCATTAAAACAACACAAGCCTGGTTCACAGATCTGTCTTTTCAGGACAGCAGTGTTTGCTCTTGTTCAACGTAGCAAAAGGTAAATAGCGCTCCCTGAAGGCCATGCAGTGAACTGATAGCATCGCCAAGCAACAGAGAGGGTGACATCCGGCCAGCTATCTTATCAGTCAGAAGGTTTCCATGATGCCTTTTAATCCCGGCTGTTTGTGGAGGAGAACTGTGTGCATCAACTAAAAAACCAAATGGCTCTTTAAGAACAAAAATATTAAAACATTCCCAAAAGAACGGAGTGAGAAGGTGCTGACGCTCACCTCTGAGTCTATTGAGCCTGTTGCTAGGCAGCCCATAGTAACAGTTGTGGAAGGGTTAGTTGGTGATGAGTAAAGCTTTATGTGACAACTCAGCTCCTATTTTATGTCTCTGCACCTGTTCCTGAGCAGCGCTTTACTCAGGATGGCCAGAAACAGGCTGCACGGCCGGAAAACTCAGCATCTGAAGGCAACAAACAGGCTGCTTTACAAACAATTACAGAACATGAGAAACTCACAGTGAAAGCTACGGTTTCTCAGCCAGAGAACGACTTCTTCACTGTTTATGTAAGAAAAATCAATCTGAGAGGGCCGCACAGTCAGACAGGTGGAAGGAATACATCCTTCTCTGAGGTTCAGTTTCACTTCCTCGTCACTTTTTTTAGTTTTTCTGTATAAACATAGAGAGGCAGGTTGGTGGTTTGTTCTTAATTAGCTCACATTTTGTTCTGGACATAAAAATGCTACAAAACTGTATGTTCCTTCAAACAAATCAGTTTGTTTTTTTGCTTTTTAAAAAAAATAATAAATAAATATTTCAGATAAAGGAACAAATTTTAACATCAGACGAAGATGACCAGAGGAAATAGAAAAAGTCACTTTCAAATGAAGGTTTCATTTTTTTCCACTTATTAAGAGGCTAATCAAACCAACTTACTCGTACCATCCATCCATCCATCCATCCTCCATCTTTCATCCATCATCCATCCATCCATCCATCCTCCATCTTTCATCCATCCATCCATCCATCCATCCATCCATCCATCCATCCATCCATCCATCCTCCATCTTTCATCCATCCATCCATCCATCATCCATCTTTCATCCATCATCCATCCATCCATCCATCCATCCATCCATCCATCCATCCATCCTCCATCTTTCATCCATCCATCCATCCATCCTCCATCTTTCATCCATCATCCATCCATCCTCCATCTTTCATCCATCATCCATCCATCCATCCTCCATCTTTCATCCATCCATCCATCCATCCATCCATCCATCCATCCATCCATCCATCCATCCATCCATCCATCTTCCTCCGCTTATCCGGGGTCGGGTCGCGGGGGCAGCAGCTTAAGAAGGGAGGCCCAGACTTCCCTCTCCCCAGCCACTTCTTCTAGCCACTCAGGAGGAACCCCAAGGCGTTCCCAGGCCAGCTGAGAAACATAGTCTCTCCAGCGTGTCCTGAGTCTTCCCCTGGGCCTCCCCCCGGTGGGACGTGCCCAGAACACCTCACCAGGGAGGCGTCCAGGAGGCATCCTAACCAGATGGCCGAGCCACCTCAACTGGCTCCTCTCGACGTGGAGGAGCAGCGGCTCTACTCCGAGTCCCTCCCGGATGACCGAGCTTCTCACCCTATCTCTAAGGGAGAGCCCAGCCACCCTACGGAGGAAACCCATTTCGGCCGCTTGTATCCGCGATCTCGTTCTTTCGATCATGACCCAGAGTTCATGACCATAGACAGGGGTAGGAACGTAGATCGACCAGTAAATCGAGAGCTTCGCTTTTTGACTCAGCTCTCTCTTCACCACGACGGACCGGTACAGCGCACGCTTCACGGCAGACGCTGCACCAATCCGCCTGTCGATCTCCCGCTCCCTTCTTCCCTCATTCGTGAACAAGACCCCAAGATACTTAAACTCCTCCACTTGGGGCAGGACACCCCCCCTGACCCGGAGAAGGCACTCTACCCTTTTCCGGCTCAAGACCATGGCCTCGGATTTGGAGGCACTGATTCCCATCCTCGCTTCATACTCGGCTGCGAACCGATCCAGCGAGAGCTGCAGATCACGACCTGATGAAGCCAATAGGACCACATCATCTGCAAAAAGCAGGGACGCAATCCTAAGGCCACCAAAACGGATCCCCTCAACACCTTGGCTGCGCCTAGAAATTCTGTCCATGAAGGTAATGAACAGAATCGGTGACAAAGGGCAGCCCTGGTGGAGTCCAACTCTCACCGGAAATGAGTCAGACTTACTGCCGGCAATGTGGACCAGACTCTGACACCGGTCCTACAGGGACCTGACAGCCCGTATCAAACATTATGTCGTTCCAAAAAAGTTAAAAAACAAACTACAGGACTTTGTTTTCCAAGTTTGAAGACGTTTTGCTTCCCATCCAGGAAGATTTCTCAATTCAGAATGTTTGGAGTAGCGTTGAGTTCCAGGCTTATAAAATGGCCCAAATAAAAGCTTTTTTATGGCTTAGAAAAAATGCAAATTGAGCCAAAAAACAAGTCCAACCCTTAGAAAAGGGGAGTCGTTGGGTCGTCGTTGGCCAGCAAAACCCAATACTGGCCCATGCCTCTAAAAAGGGAGTGTTTAGGGTCATTGTTGTCCTGGCTAAACAGGCAGGATGTTTTTTCCCCTGCATGGAGAAGAGGACTGAGATGATAGCGTGAAGGAATCAACTCTGAAGCTGCATCACAGGTTTTGGAGCTGAAACCGGAATACACCACCTCTGTTTAAGGTTGGTGTTGGGATCTGGAGCTGTACCACCTTCCTCCAGCAGAGTGCGCCGTGGGTCCTCCTGAGCTGAGCCTTCCAACATACCTGTGGCGCATCTCATCATCAGAAGTCCAGCCCTATATAACCTGCTTCCAGACCTTGCTTCAAGTGCCGCAGTGTTGATCTAGTTTGGTTAGCGACCTGAGCCTAGTAACCTGAGAATCTTAGCTATCTCTAGTTGAGATAAGATTCTAACTCTTCCTTGTTTTTTGCCTCACAGGAATCCTGTCTCTACCTGAGGCTCTGGATGAGCTTAACCTGCCGAGCCTGCCCTCGTGAGCCAAACCTGACGACTCCTCTGTGGATTCCCCTGCAGGTCTTGGCTAAGAGCTGGAAACTCAAATCAAGGTCTGCCCTCAAAGTCAGAAGTAAGACGCTGAAGCAGTTATTGGACTCTGCTGAACAAACAGTCTCTGGATCCCACAGTAATCTCTCTTAAAGAGAAACCCGGACTCCTTCAAGGTATTCTTCTGAAACATCAAAGACTCATAACTCATCAACTCGTTTGCTAACTGAACTGTCATCTCTGCAGACTCCAGTGAACCCGCCCCAGACCAGTTCCTGTTCCTGTGCAATTTCATGTGCTTGTGAAACAATAAACTCTGTTAAACTTTTTATCCAGTCTCTGTGTGTGTTCTGCATCTTGGGCTAGCTCTGAAACTCATCATGACAGTTGGTTTCTCTCTCCTTCACACCCCTCTCAAACCACCTGTCTTCTTTGTCCAAAATGTCAACGTTCTGGTCCTCAAACGAATGTCAGGCTGAATATCTCAGCATCCCTACTGGAAATCAAATGTGTTTTTGAAATGCTTTAATTGAAGATAACTTTTACTCACATTTTTATGTACAGTTTGCTAATTGACGTCATGTTTAACCACAACATTAAACTGCCTGGCAGTAGAGAGAGACAAATAAGGTGAGCTTTTTTTTATATTTTAAAAGTCGTTCCATATGAGCACATCATGCATTTCTTAAAATGGACTAAATTCTCTTGAACTCCTTCTCTCATACAGCGACATTACACTCAGAAGCTTCCAATAACAGATCAGAGTAGCACAGCCCTCGTGTCTGATGTGCGTCACTGGGTCGCTTTTCATACACAAGTCTCTGGAGGGCAGTCGCTCTGCTTGTCGTGACTGAGTCAGATGAGCAGACACGGCCTTAAGGTAAAGCATTTACAGCCCCTCTGCTGCGCAGAGCTGCACCGGAATTCATTTTAAAGTACACCGTGTGCTGCTCTGACATAAGCACACAGTAAGAGGACAAAAAACCAACCACTTCGACGGTGGAAACGCTGCGTTCCACTTCACCAACTTACAGCAGGTTAGTCTGACCTGCAGGACAGGGAGGTCTCCATCTGGTAAATAAGTAACTCTGGATTTAGTGCTCAGCTCCTAAATCAGCTACAGGAAAATGCAAGCCTGCATTTTAACCCTTAACTGAAACAAAGCGTTGTTTATTTATTCTCCACAATGAGTTAAAAAGCTTGCTCAAGTTATTTGCTAAACACAAAAACGATGATCTGTTTGATAAAGCTGAATTAAATAACAACGAAAAGTTGGTTTTGGATATGTAGACTTACCCATGCATGGGTCCTCCTTGCTCCAAACTGTACACCTGCCTGGGGTTAAGCAGATACCTGAACTTCCTGAGAACACTGGGGGAAAAACACAACATGGGGGAGCATGCATTAAGGCTTATACACACTGATAATGACTGATGTTCTTCATATTACTGAAACAATAAAGGTGGATTTCATGCAAAGCTGCTGGAGCCAGCTATATTTTATTGCTATCAGATAATCTGATGCTATGAATGCTCCCATGAGCTAGCTTATTGTTCCAGTGCTGCAGCATAACAACATTCTAACATAATTAGAATTTCTAAAGTAGAATAGGAGGCAGATCTTTTAGTTATCAGGCTCCAACTACCAGTTTTAGTCCGTGAGGCAGACACCCTGTCTACTTTTAAGGCTAGGCTTAAAAATTTCCTTTTTGATAAAGCTTATATGAGCTATCGCTATAGTTATGCTGCTATAGGCTTAGTCTGCTGGAGGACATAGGGACCCCTTTTTCATCATTCTCTCTTTATTCTCCCATTTTGTGGTATTTGTTAGTTCAATCTCTAACATTCTGATTTTTTCTCATAGTAGCTTCATCTGGTCTGTTCCTGTTTGGCTGTGACTCCATCCTGGAGAGAAATATCAGATGTGCTGCTGCCATTAACACCCTTGTTGTTGGAGATCGGCCTGTTTTCCAGTGTAGTCCTGTTTCTCTGACTGTGACTAACTGGATGTGCTCTCTTCATCCTCTGACATGTAGCTCGTCTTTTTCTTATTTTAAATGTCAGTTGTCTTGTTCCATTGGCAAAGTGTCTCACTATCTTCTCCAGTTCAAAAATAAATGCACTTATATAAAGAAAAAAATGACCTATTAAGATTTAAAAATTTTGTTTTTGCAGTATAAATAAAAATATTTTTTTCAGCCACTGAGTTTGCATAAATTCAACTTACAGTAAGAACCGGTCAATGTAGTAATAAATGAAAAAATGTATGCTTGAAACCCTGTTTTTGTTCAAGTTTAACAGGAAACAAGATAAAGTTTTCTGCATTGGAACAGATCTGTAGTTAATTTATCAGTTTCAATGAATCTGCATTTGTGCGTGTCTATAATGGCCGTGACCCTGAAACTCCATGCTCTAGTTGGAGCCATGAGAATGAAAATGCTGAGATAAAAATCATTGAGCTGTGTGTCGGAGAGCTTTGGCATTACTATCATCTCCCCATGAGAGTAAAACCTTCCAGTTCAGGCTAAAATTCAAACTTTTGAAAGTACTTTAAATATGATATTATTACGTACTGTTCAATAAATTCTAAGTGTTTTTATTTAAAGCTACAGTGTGTAATTTTCAGCGACATCTAGCGGTCCAGACTGCAGACCGCAGCAACATGAACATCTCCCCCCCACCGCTTCTCCCCCCCAACAGTACGGCGAGCGTTACGGGACAAAATGTCTTCCACGACGTCCGCATCACCTACCTTCTCAAGGGATGAGGTTTGTTTACATAGATAATTTTAATACTGCCATCTATTGTTCAGTACCGTCTCAGTTCATCTCTCTCAACTTGCCGTAGTTACTTTCGAGCGTCATGGGAGATCTCGCAATCGCTAGTTTGTTGGCTCTGCGCTGCCGTAGCGCAAAGATGTCTGCCTCCATGGCTGCGAGACCCGCTCCTATGTAATTATAAATAACGAATTCTAAGGCAACGCAAATATTAAGGTTAAGAGGCTGAGCTCGTAGATGATGATAAATAACATAGTTATGTATAATATATTACATTTCTGACTGTATATCCCTGTAAAATCCTGAGCTATCTCTATAGTTATGCTGCTATAGGCTTAGACTTTTGGAGGACATAGGGACCCCCATTTCATCATTCTGCTTCATTCTCTCTCTGTTCTCCTATTCTGCAGAATCTGTTAGTTCAATCTCTAACCTTCTGCTCTCTCTGCTTTTCCTCATAGTAGCTTCATCTGGTCTGTTCCTGTTTGGCTGTGACTCCATCCTGGAAAGAAACATCAGCTGTGCTGCTTCCATCAACACCCTTGTTTATAGATGTTGGAGATCGGCCTGTTTTCCAGTGTGGTCCTGTTTCTCTGACCGTGACTGAGTGGATGTGCTCTCTTCATCCTCTGACATGGGAGCTGCCTTGGAGCTCGTCTGCCTGGCTGTGTGTTTCCTGGACGGGGCCGCCTGTGGAGCTGGTTGACAGTTGCCTTTTGTATCTATGCTTCTTTTTCTATGTCTGCTTCTGTCTCCTTGAACCCCAGTGGGCCTCAGCAGATGGCCGCTCACACTGAGCCTGGTTCTGCTGGAGGTTTCTTCCTGTTAAAGGGGAGTTTTTCCTCTCCACTGTCGCTACAAGCTTGCTTAGTGTGAGGGATTGCTGAAGAGTCAATGAGTCGATGCAATCAACTGGTTTTCCTTAGATAGAAAACTTTGTATCGATTTGACTGTATGATCTGGTTGAACTGTAAAGTGCCTTGAGATGACATGTGTTGTGAATTTGGCGCTATAGAAATAAACTGAATTGAAACTGAATTGAATTGAATTAATTATTACACACTGTAGCTTATAACTCCTGTTCCACTTTAAATGTTTTTTTTTTAACATATTTTTAGGATTTACCTCAGATAGTTTGAAATCAGCAGAGAGATTAATTAAGTTTTTCATTTTTTTCCTCTCTAATAACCCATGACAGTTTTTTTTTAATCTACAGATTTATCTTAACAGATGATTCATTTTGTCAGGGTGTTTTTTTTTTTTTGCTGAGCTTTTCTGTTGAATTTCTTTTAAAGGCCGAACTCTTATTGAAATGTCAGAAAAATGTCACTGATTTGAAGTAAAGGAAAACGGCTTTTTAAAGCAATTCTCTCTCCCTGTTTTATGACCGCTGAGAGGGAATAATTTGCTTTCTCATCATACAGTATGAAAAAGTGCATCTCCATGGAAACGCATCAGACCGAGGGAACACAGCAGGTTCTGATTGGTCATGATTGCTGGGTGCTACGAGGAAAATGATGCAAGAATGACGGCTTTTTTTGTTTTTTCTTTTTTGGGGGCTCCACCTTTAAATGCCAGCATTGAGAGACGCAGCAGGGGGGAGCAGCCATGATGGAGGAAGAAAGCCTCTGTGGAAATATTCAGGTTAAGGCCGCACCCTTTGATGGCCATCGCTTCAAGAACCCCATGCACCAAAATGCACTGAAGACATTCCCTCTCTGTAGCAGTTCACTCACAGTTTTTATTTTCCACATGGAAACAAGGACTAACCAGCAACTGAGCTTTCCTCCATTTGCTTTTACCTCAAACTCCCTTTTTTAAGGCAGAAGAAAACCAAGGAGAGTTTGCGGAGTTCGCTGCCACGTCCCATCTTTGCTAATTTTTCTCCCATTTTAGATTTTTTTGTTTTGGAATTTGAAAATAAATCACATCTTTGTAACGTTTGACTCGTCACCCTGCATCTAGTCAGCAGTCTAAAACATTTATAACCATTAAAAGGAAAATATAGCCTCTTCCAGTTTTACATTTCATGACCAGAGGTGTCAAGTAACAAAGTACAAATACTTCATTACTTTACTTAAGTAGAAATATTTACGACGGAGTATTAGGGCCACACATGAAGAGAAAAAATATTTTTGCCATGAAGAGATTAAACTCGACATGTCGACATTAAAGTCGACATGTCGACATTAAACTCGCCATTTCGAGAATAAAGTTGAAATGTCATGTTGAGTTTAATCTCGACGTGTCAACTTTAAACTCGCCCTGTCGACTTTAAACTCGCCATTTCGAGAATAAAGTTGATATATCGTGGCGACTTTAATCTCGACGTGTCGACTTTAAACTTGCCCTGTCAACTTTAAACTCGCCATTTTGAGAATAAAGTTGAAATGTCATGTTGAGTTTAATCTCGACGTGTCGACTTTAAACTCGCCCTGTCGACTTTAAACTCAACATTTCGAGAATAAAGTTGAAATGTCATGTTGAGTTTAATCTCGACGTGTCGGCTTTAAACTCGCCCTGTCGACTTTAAACTCAACATTTCGAGAATAAAGTTGAAATGTCATGTTGAGTTTAATCTCGACGTGTCAACTTTAAACTCGCCCTGTCAACTTTAAACTCGCCATTTCGAGAATAAAGTTGATATATCGTGGCGACTTTAATCTCGCCCTGTCGACTTTAAACTCAACATTTCGAGAATAAAGTTGAAATGTCATGTTGAGTTTAATCTCGACGTGTCGACTTTAAACTTGCCCTGTCGACTTTAAACTCAACATTTCGAGAATAAAGTTGAAATGTCATGTTGAGTTTAATCTCGATGTGTCGACTTTAAACTCGCCCTGTCGACTTTAAACTCAACATTTCGAGAATAAAGTTGAAATGTCATGTTGAGTTTAATCTCGACGTGTCGACTTTAAACTCGCCCTGTCGACTTTAAACTCGCCATTTCGAGAATAAAGTTGATATATCGTGGCGACTTTAATCTCGACGTGTCGACTTTAAACTCGCCCTGTCGACTTTAAACTCAACATTTCAAGAATAAAGTTGAAATGTCATGTTGAGTTTAATCTCGACGTGTCGACTTTAAACTCGCCCTGTCGACTTTAAACTCAACATTTGAAGAAAAAGTTGAAATGTCATGTTGAGTTTAATCTCGACGTGTCGACTTTAAACTCGCCCTGTCGACTTTAAACTCAACATTTCAAGAATAAAGTTGAAATGTCATGTTGAGTTTAATCTCGACGTGTCGACTTTAAACTCGCCCTGTCGACTTTAAACTCGCCATTTCGAGAATAAAGTTGAAATGTCATGTTGAGTTTAATCTCGACGTGTCAACTTTAAACTCGCCCTGTCGACTTTAAACTCGCCATTTCGAGAATAAAGTTGAAATGTCATGTTGAGTTTAATCTCGACGTGTCAACTTTAAACTTGCCCTGTCGACTTTAAACTCGCCATTTCGAGAATAAAGTTGATATATCATGGCGACTTTAATCTCGACGTGTCGACTTTAAACTCGCCCTGTCGACTTTAAACTCAACATTTCTAGAATAAAGTTGAAATGTCATGTTGAGTTTAATCTCGACATGTCGACTTTAAACTCGCCCTGTCGACTTTAAACTCAACATTTCGAGAATAAAGTTGAAATGTCATGTTGAGTTTAATCTCGACGTGTCAACTTTAAACTTGCCCTGTCGACTTTAAACTCGCCATTTCGAGAATAAAGTTGAAATGTCATGTTGAGTTTAATCTCGACGTGTCAACTTTAAACTCGCCAGGTCGACTTTAAACTCACCATTTCGAGAATAAAGTTGATATATCGTGGCGACTTTAATCTCGACGTGTCGACTTTAAACTCGCCATTTCGAGAATAAAGTTGATATATCGTGGCGACTTTAATCTCAACGTGTCGACTTTAAACTCGCCCTGTCGACTTTAAACTCAACATTTCGAGAATAAAGTTGAAATGTCATGTTGAGTTTAATCTCGACGTGTCGACTTTAAACTCGCCAGGTCGACTTTAAACTCGCCATTTCGAGAATAAAGTTGATATATCGTGGCGACTTTAATCTCGACGTGTCGACTTTAAACTCGCCCTGTCGACTTTAAACTCAACATTTCGAGAATAAAGTTGAAATGTCATGTTGAGTTTAATCTCGACGTGTCGACTTTAAACTCGCCATTTCGAGAATAAAGTTGAAATGTCATGTTGAGTTTAATCTCGACGTGTCGACTTTAAACTCAACATTTCGAGAATAAAGTTGAAATGTCATGTTGAGTTTAATCTCGACGTGTCGACTTTAAACTCGCCAGGTCGACTTTAAACTCGCCATTTCGAGAATAAAGTTGATATATCGTGGCGATTTTAATCTCGATGTGTCGACTTTAAACTCGCCCTGTCGACTTTAAACTCAACATTTCGAGAATAAAGTTGAAATGTCATGTTGAGTTTAATCTCGACGTGTCGACTTTAAACTCGCCATTTCGAGAATAAAGTTGAAATGTCATGTTGAGTTTAATCTCGACGTGTCGATTTTAAACTCGCCCTGTCAACTTTAAACTCGCCATTTCGAGAATAAAGTTGATATATCGTGGCGACTTTAATCTCGACATTCCAAAGTTTGGAGAAAAGAGCAACCGCGCTCCACAGCTGCAGTCTGCGTTTTAAGAGTGAAGGTAGTCTTTGACGTGCTGCAACTCTATAACTGTATAATCATCACAGAAAGTACAATTTGACCAAATCATCTACACAAGGCATGTCTGATTCTGGATTCTGGGCATGTATCCTGTGCAGCGGTTGGCTCTCTTGAACTAATTTCAACTTTATTGTCGACACTTCGAGATTAAACTCAACATGACATTTCAGCTTTATTCTCGAAATGTTGAGTTTAATGTCGACATGTCGAGTTTAATCTCGTCATGGCAAAAATATTTTTTCTCTTCATGTGTGGCCCTAATACTCCGTCGTAAATATTGGCTATCTTTACTTTACTGGAGTAATTATTTTTAGACAACTTTTCAATTCTACTTCTTGCATTTTTTTTGCAATTATCTCTACTTTCTACTCCTTACGTTTTATAAAATAGACTTCTTAGTTTTTTTTCATTTAAGCTCATTTTCATTATGGCCTGTTGGTATTTAAAAAATATATAAACCATCAAAATAATTAGTTTCATCCAGACAATTTTTTTGTGGTTGAACAAGGTGCTGCCCCCACTTGTTGCCCCAACCACATACCAAACTATTAGGCAAATTTAAATTTGACACTTTTACCATTAGTTGTAAAACTAAGAGACTAAAGTCTAAGGAAATGACCATCCAGAATTGTAGAAAAATGTTCCTTTAATAGAGTAGAGCAGTGAAGCTTCTGGACTTCACATTTACTCCTGCATTATTTTTACTTTTATACTTTAATTAGTTTTAAAAATGGTACTTTTACACTTTTACTGGAGTAAAAAGCTGAAGTTGATCCTCTTACTTCTACAAAAGTGTTTTTAAACAGCAGGATTTCTACTAGTGGAGTAATAAACATTAATACTTTTGAACCTCTGGTCAAAAGTATTAATCCAGCATAAAATAGTAGAGTAATTCCTTTTTGCTAAAGTATTTTGAACAAAAACACAAAAGATTCAACCTCTTTAATAAAGGTGGCGCTATGATCACCTTAATACTAGAGTTTTATTTAGAGGAATCAGTGCAAACGCTACTGAACCCCAATATTCAGCAGCATTTAATTTTCTATCCTTAAATTCTTTTTAACTTTTTCTTTAAGTTTACAAATCTGAAGTTTTTTATTCTAACACTCCAAATTATTTATATTTAATATAAGCAATAGTTTAATGGTGTTTTCTTCAAAGAAGTGCATTTTTTCTTGAATTGAGGAGGTAAGTGAGACACTTTACCAGAGGACCAAGACTATTTACATTTAAAATAAGCCTAAATATATGCATTGTCTTATTTCAAGTGCATATTATCTAATTGTCTTATTTTAAGAAACAAAAAGACAAATTCCATCTGCAAATCCTCTTATTTACCTACTCAAATTAAGGATAAATACACTTAATCTAAGAAATTTTGACTTATTTCTAGATTGTTTTTGCAGTGAACCCTACTATTTAGACTATGATTTATTAAAAGGTTTTAAAGGACAACAGCTTTAAACTAAAAAATGCTGAATCAGGTCTGAATTTTTTTTAAATTAAGGTTTCTTATAGTTTTGTTACAGATGTGCATCATCAGGATTTTAAAAAGTTTAAATGTTTGAGGACCAGAAAGGAGAACTGTTCTATGTAGATCATTTATTGGGACTAACAGTATGTTAGTGATCACCATCGAATTAACCTGATCCATCTAAAAGCACTTTGCAGTTATCATCTTTTAACTATTAAAACTTTGTTCCAAAGTCAAACACTCCACTGGTGGAGTAAAAAGCAGTTTATGAGCAGAGATCTGCAGGTGGACTCAAACTTACCGCTCCCCTTGCCGCCCTCCGCTCTTAGGGTTGACCAAGACCAGGAGAGGGTGAGTTCCTGGGAGAGGGGTGATCTGCAAGCAGGAAACACAAGCACTGATATTCTATGGGTCAAATAGTTGAGTAAGAGCATTTAGCACAATTTGGCACATTTGGAGAGGTTTGGAGACGCTGGTGACACCAGAAGTTCAAAGCCCCACAGCTCTGGAAGTGTTGTAGCTAGAGGTGTCATGATCTTGGCGCTAATGGTTTGGTTTTTTCCTTTGCTCATGGCTCCCCCGTCTAATTGGTTCTGCGGCTGATTATTGGCGATCATTTCCACCTGGTTCCTCTACTATTTAAGTTGTGTGTTTGCCTCCCATCAGTGCCAGGTTATTCGTGGGTTTTGTTGAGATGTTTCCTAACAATCTTTAGTCTGTTTTCCTGTTTATGACCAGTTTTCTGTCCTGTGGATCTCGAGTTTTGCCTTGTCCCTGTCTGCTCTGTTTGTCGCATCTGGTCCTGGATTCTACCGGCTTCTGAACCTGGAACTGTCTCCTGACTTCGGCCTTGGATTTCCCTTCTGGACTCTGTTGCTGCTCGGCGTCTGCTGCTCGCTCTCTAGGAACTCTTGGGGTGTCGCCTGCCGCAACTGCGGTCAAAGCTCCGCGAACGGACTGAACTTTGAATCAGGTCAGTGACTTTGCATCAGCTCCACATCCAGTCACTGACCTGTATTCTCGTATCCCTGCAGAGATCCGCCCCGCAGCCGACGAGCAGCCCCACGCACCAGTTTGTTAATAAACGCTTTGAACTTTCCCACTGCCTGTCTCGCCTCGAATTCTGGGTCCAATATTCTGAGATCATTACAAGAGGTCTGAAATGTTCTGCATTTGTGGTTGACATGATGTAGAACAGATGTAATAAAATGAGACACGCCTGTTCTCAAGCATTTCTTTATCACTACTGTTCAAAAAACACCTATTATTTTCTAGAAGAAAAGAAGCAACTTTGAGTCATGTTTGAACTGATGCAGCTTAGGATGTGTTTAAAGGAATAGTACACCCAAAACATGATTAGCCTTCATTTTCTACTCACCCCCATGCTGAACAACACTCTGGAGTACTTTTTTGATATCTCAAATGCATCTGGAGATCTGGGAGGCTTCTTGCTGTCTGCTGACATTCAAATAATGGAGGTCTATGGCGCCCGAGGCAGAAAGGTCCATAAAAGTCCACAAAAAACGTGTCAATATTCCTCCATACTGCTCGTCCAATGTATTCCAAGTGTCCTGAGTGGGTAGCATCCAGAATTTACTCGAAACAAAGTCATTTAGAATGTTTTTAGAGCATAAACAGTAGTGTATAGGATTTCCTGAAAGCGCGTTCACGACGCTACGGAAGCCGGCAGACCAAACCGGATGAAAGTGCGCATTCAGCGTCTGCTCTGCCAATAATGCAAGCGTAGAAGAAGAAATGTGCTGTTTACCTGTGCAAAGAAAGAAACAACGAAAGAAAAATGTCTGAGGACTTCAGTGTTGAGGAAGAGCATGAGTTCTTTGCCGAGCTGAATGCGCGCTTTCATCTGGTTTGGTCTGCCGCGGTTTCCGTAGACTCATGAACGCGCTTTTAGGAAATCCTATACACTACTGTTTATGCTCTAAAAACATTCTAAATGACTTCGTTTCGAGTAAATTCTGGACGCTACCCACTCAGGACACTTGGAATACATTGGACGAGCAGTATGGAGGAATATTGACACGTTTTTGTGGACTTTTATGGACCTTTCTGCCTCGGGCGCCATAGACCTCCATTATTTGAATGTCAGCAGACAGCAAGAAGCCTCCCAGATCTCCAGATGCATTTGAGATATCAAAAAAGTACTCCAGAGTGTTGTTCAGCATGGGGGTGAGTAGAAAATGAAGGCTAATCATGTTTTGGGTGTACTATTCCTTTAAGTCTCGCCATTTTAATTTATATTTTCAGAACCTAGAAGTTGTTCACACATGTAATTTGGGCTTACAGTTCCTCAGTTATTTGCTTTTCCATTTGGGTGTGCAAAATAGGCCAGGATTACTTCAAATTAGGTGGGTTTTAACCTGTAAACTTCTCCCCCCCAGCCGCTGCATGGCAGTGTGAAGAGGGTACCTGCAGTGCTTGTCCATCTCCAGGAGAGAATTTAAATGTCTGGTTGGGGTCATCGGGGCTGGTGCTGGGAGGCGAATCCCCCTCCCCTCGCTTTGTGGCGGAATGACGATCCTGTCATTAGAAAAACATGATGAACAGGAGGAAATGGAAAATCGGCCAGCAGGTGCCTGGATCTTCATTTAAGGCATGAAATCCCCAATGATAGGACCGATAATTGGCCTCTAATCAATGTGTCATTGTTTAATTTGGAGGAGAACAGAAGATTTGACAACAGAGTCCAAAAATAAAATCAAGAGGGACATGAAATTAAAGGCAGGTGGTCAGAAAATGATGGTGGAAAGTTCTCAATGATAGAACGTCACAGCTACACTGCAAAAACCATCTAGAAATAAGTAAAAAAAAATTAAATTAAGTGTATTTACCCTTAATTTGAGTATTTAAATAAGATGATTTACCAATGGAATGAGATTTTTACTCTTAATATAAGATAATTAGATAATATGCACTAGTGTTGAGTTCAAGGTTTTATACAGTAGCCCAACAAAGCCTTGTTTTTGTTTTGAAAACATGCATCCGTTTCAATTTGCATGTTTAAAAAAAAACAAAAAACAAGGCTTTGTTGGGCTACTGCTTGGAAACAAAGTCCAGTGGATTGTTTCAGTGGGTTCCTGCACTGGAAAAACGACCTAGAAATAAGTAAAAATGTCTTAAATTAAGTGTATTTCCCCTTAATTTGAGTAGGTAAATGAGATAGTTTGCCAACGGAATGAGTATTTTTACTCTGATAAAAAAGATAATTAGATAATATGCACTTGAAATTAAACAATGCTATTCTGTTTTCTTATTCTAAGTGCAAATTGCCTTGTTCTATTAGCAAGATGTCTCTTTTACTCCCTTAATCTAAGGGCAAATGCACTTATTTTCAGAGATGGGAAGTAAATAAGTACAAATACTTCGTTACTGTACTCAAATAGATTTTCTGATATTTTTACTTTACTTTACTACTTATTTTTATGGCGACTTTTTACTTCTACTCCTTACATTTTTACACAAATATCTGTACTTTCTACTCCTTACATTTTAAAAAATTGTCTCGTTACTTTAGTTTTGAATCATTTCAATGGAGTTACCGTTATTATTTTTCACGTCATCAATACCAAATTCAATCTAATTGGATGGGAATCTACGTTGCATTTGACGCACCACTACAAGATGAATCGACAGATTCGGCGGTATTCATTGGCGGCAAATCATTGCAGCTTGGTGGCGGTGGCGTTAGCATAGTAGCATGGACGACGAGATGATTGAAAATGAACACAACGGAGATCTAGTCCTATTGGCAGACATCCATTTAAAATGTAGGCAACGGCATGAAAAAAGTGGTTTCTTCTCTTACTTTTATACTTTAAGTAAATTTACAAGCCTGTACTTTGTTACTTTTACTTGAGTACAGAAGTTTAATCAGTACTTCCACTTTTACCAGAGTATTTTTTAACACAAGTATCTTAACTTTTACTCAAGTACGGAAAGTGAGTACTTTTGCCATCTCTGCTTATTGTAAGAGAAAAAATGTCTAGATTTTGATTTTTTTCCAGCGTCTCTTCGCACTGACGGCACCATCGCTGAATGTCCAGCAGAGGGTGGCGTTCTCACCAGGACAACTGGACAGATGTATGAAGGCAGCAGAGTGTGGTCCCTCAGGGCTCCTCCATCACACTCTGGCTTCACATGCGATGCACACTTGTTGTGGAGCTGCAGCGGACAGGAGAAGAAGAAGCATCAGAGTTCTGCACGTCTCAGAATGAGTATCGGTTGATCTAAAGCTCAGGCAGGGTTGAAGATAATAGAGATCACTGTGTGTCTCTAAATACAGAACAGTGGTTTGGTTTGCTCAGCCTCAGCATTATCATCACAATACAACACTGACATCTAGTGGATAAAATGAGCAATGACAAATAATCCCAGTTAACCTCCATGTACATTTTTATTACATCTTTATTTTGTAAAATGGCATCAAGATTTTTTATTTGTTATTTTATATAATTTCACTTTGTTAAATTAACTACACATAGTTTGAAAATACATTTTTGATATGAAACTACTCTGCTAATTGTGCCTGGAGCCTTCAAAGTTTAAAACAGCTCATGAACAGAAGTCTTTTGGATTTACAGCAGTATTGCATCATCTAAGTGTGATTGATGCTGGAGTTGCTGCTCTGCCAGTGGAAACTCTAAATGTGGGGTAGGATTTACATCAAAGTCTTTATTTTTTAACTTTTTTAGATGATTTTCATATCTTTTCAGTGTTGCCATGATGTTTTTGTTCAAATATTAGTCCGATACCTCGATGTTTGTGGCTGTAACACAGGAAATAGATCAGAAATTATATTTAATTTTTAACACAGGTTTTCCTAAGTTATTACGAACATACCTTAAAGTTTCTAATGATGCTAACTTTTTTCTAATTTTCTCCCTTACTTTCTGTAGTTGTTTCCATCTGCCCCTGGGGGGCAGTATTCATAGTCCACCTCTGTTAAAGTGGTGTGCAGGTTTAATGGTGATGTGGGGAATGTGACTCACCGTCAACTGGCACCAGACACAGTGCAGGCCCGTCAGGCCCTGGTAGCACTTGATGCTTCTGTGACATCGATCGCACTTCGTTGGAGAATTTCCCTCCATCCAGACATGCTGCATAACCTGGAGAGAAGCAGAGAGCAGCAGCAGATATGAACCAAACCCGTCACAACTTTATGATTTCAGAACCATCTTCAGGGTTTTTCCAAATCTTAGATCCTTATCTTTTCTGCTGGCTCTTTAAACCACTTCCTTCTTTGCCACTTATTTTCCCTCTATTTGCTTCATTTAAAGTTCAAACTACAGACTGAGTGTTACTTTTTGCTTTTTTTAAAGCTTATGTAGATACCCATCATTTTGACACTCTAACTGATCCTCGACAGGATTTTGGGCCGATTCTTTGTGCCGATGTTGCTTTTTATTCATTTAGATAATAAAATGGCCCAAAGATGGCAAATTCATCCATCCATCCATTTTCTGTCCCGCTTATCCCAAGTGGGGTCGCGAGGGGTGCTGCTGTCTATCTCCAGCTATCTGAAGTCAAGAGGCAGGGTAAATCCTGGACAGGTGTCCAGTCCATCGCAGGACAACACAGAGACAAACAGGACAAACAACCTTCCAACTGTTTTTAATATTCTTTGTTTGTTTCTGCATTTTTTATTTTATTTAATTTATTTATTTATTTTTTTCCTACTTGCTTTGATTCTGTTTTATCTTCCTGTATTTTAATCATGTAAAGCACTTTGCATTGTCTTTGTACTGAATCGTGCTATACAAATACATTTCCCTTGCCTTGCCTTGCCTTCCACACACACTCACACCTAAGGAGAATCTAGAGAAGCCAATTAACCTAACAGTCATGTTTTTGGACTGTGGGAGGAAGCCGGAGTACCCGGAGAGAACCCACACATGCTCAGGGAGAACATGCAACCTCCATGCAGAAAGACCCCGGGCCGGGAATCGAACCCGCGACCTTCTTGCTGCAAGGCAATCCCAAAGATAGCACATATAACACAAATCTCTATTTGAAGAAACATTTAGTAACTAATCAAACTAAACTTTAACAACGGATTGAAAACAGATTGAGGTGCATTGCAGGAGCTCTGCATGATCTCAAGGAATAACTGGTGAAGCAGATTTATGTCTGTAGGAAGGTTTTCTGTGAAGTGCATGACTGCCTGGTGGGAAAAAAAGGAGAAATAGACAGACTGACTCAACGCTACTGACTGTAATCAGCTCCTATTATGAAGGCCTACAGTTCAGAATTCATGTTTATCTGAATAAACACTTATTAAACATCAATACATCTTATTGATTATTATTTATTTTCATCACCAGTTATCATAGTGGAAAAGCTTTCTCAATTATTTTGTGATGAATTTCGGAAACAGAAGATGAGCCCCTGATCTAACTCGACTCCTGGCATGAGAAACCTGTTCAAAGACTTACTTTAACTTATTATTTATGTAGCACACACATGTCATCATTATCTTATTTTATTCTTACATCTTATTTGTATTTTCAATGTTATTTTTCTCTCTTCTATAAACAGTTGCACTGCAAGAAAACAATTCCTGCAAGGGATTAATAAAGTAATCCTGATTCTGATTAATGATGCAGAATTCAAATGAGCCGTTTAAATCAGGATTAATGCCAAGATTACAGTGAGATTAAATTAACCCTGTAATGCCTAATGTATCATATTTGATACATACCTTTTGCATAATTTAATGGTAAAAACTTTGCTCAAAATCGTATTGTACACAATCAGATATACCTGATAACAGCCAGTAGAAGATTACACAAAAAATAATCTTGACTTATCGCATAGTAATAAATTATTAATATTAAAATGTATTTCTGTTTTTTTTCTTTTTACATATTTTGTTTAAAGGCCAAATAAGGACTTCAAACCAAAAAAAAAAAGTAATTTTCTGTTTTGTTTTATTCTTAGATCGGGCTTTAAAGGGTTAAATTAAAAAAAATCTATGCCCACCACTAGTAAAAAATATTACTCCAGTCAAGCATAGATTGCCCTAATTTCTACTTACGTAAATTAAGGAAGTTTTTGCACTTTGTTACTTGAATCCTCTAATCTCTAGTACCAACCAGTACCTATAATAATATTCACTAAATTAGAAGTCATTCTGAATCCTGTCAGAGTAAAAGTACTTTTGGAAAATAACATTTAGGCAGGTATTGAAAATACTTTCCCTGAATCAACATTTCTGTAGCTAAATGTTTATTAGTGAACTTATACAGTAGTAGCTATTCAAAATTTCCCCACTTTCCTTGATGGGTCCAAAAATTCCTTTATAAACATCAATCTTTGAACTAAAATATTCTTTCTGTCATGATTTGTGGACATTAAAGGAACAGTACACCCAAAACATGATTAGCCTTCATTTTCTACTCACCCCCATGCTGAACATCACTCTGGAGTACTTTTTTGATATCTCAAATGCATCTGGAGATCTGGGAGGCTTCTTGCTGTCTGCTGACATTCAAATAATGGAGGTCTATGGCGCCCGAGGCAGAAAGGTCCATAAAAGTCCACAAAAAACGTGTCAATATTCCTCCATACTGCTCGTCCAATGTATTCCAAGTGTCCTGAGTGGGTAGCGTCCATAATTTACTCGAAACGAAGTCATTTAGAATGTTTTTAGAGCATAAACAGTAGTGTATAGGATTTCCTAAAAGCGCGTTCACGAGTCTACGGAAACCGCGGCAGACCAAACCAGATGAAAGTGCGAATTCAGCGTCTGCTCTGCCGATAATGCAAGCGTAGAAGAAGAAATGTGCTGTTTACCTGTGCAAAGAAAGAAACAGCAAAAGAAAAATGTCTGAGGACTTCAGTGTTGAGGAAGAGCATGAGTTCTTTGCCGAGCTGAATGCGCACTTTCATCTGGTTTGGTCTGCCGCGGTTTCCGTAGACTCGTGAACGCGCTTTTAGGAAATCCTATACACTACTGTTTATGCTCTAAAAACATTCTAAATGACTTCGTTTCGAGTAAATTATGGACGCTACCCACTCAGAACACTTGGAATACATTGGACGAGCAGTATGGAGGAATATTGACACGTTTTTTGTGGACTTTTATGGACCTTTCTGCCTCGAGCGCCATAGACCTCCATTATTTGAATATCAGCAGACAGCAAGAAGCCTCCCAGATCTCCAGATGCATTTGAGATATCAAAAAAGTACTCCAGAGTGTTGTTCAGCATGGGGGTGAGTAGAAAATGAAGGCTAATCATGTTTTGGGTGTACTATTCCTTTAAGATCTAAAGAGAAGCGCCATCTCCTGGTCAGACCCTGTAATTAAGTGAAAGGATGGAGTCAGAGTAAAAAAATATGCAAGAGGAGGTCACTCCAGGTGCTGGAAGTTGGAGGGGATTCTGCTGGGAGTTGCAGGGAGAAGTGGGCTGCCATTCATCAGGTGTTTGACTGGGAGGGGCCATTTTGAATGGCTGCTACTGTTTCACACCCTAATCTGAGACTATTTTATTCTTTAGCATGTAAACTGTGAGTAACAAATCTCTATAGGTTGTTTAATGCAGTGAGTTCATGAGTCTGTATATCTGTTCTATGTTTATGTAGTAATACAGCAACTAAACAGAAAACAAAGTTTTCTATAATAATGCTCCTCTCCAGGTCAAAGCCTCCCATGCAGTCCGGTTCCACTTACATTGGTGTGTCTGCGGGACTTGGCGTAGGTGCTGATGCAGGCGGCGATGTCTTTGGACACACAGCGTTCGTGCACTGTGTACTTGCATACTGCAGGAAGACAACCCAATGAATACTGTTACATTAAAGGAATAGTACACCCAAAACATGATTAGCCTTCATTTTCTACTCACCCCCATGCTGAACAACACTCTGGAGTACTTTTTTGATATCTCAAATGCATCTGGAGATCTGGGAGGCTTCTTGCTGTCTGCTGACATTCAAATAATGGAGGTCTATGGCGCCCGAGGCAGAAAGGTCCATAAAAGTCCACAAAAAACGTGTCAATATTCCTCCATACTGCTCGTCCAATGTATTACAAGTGTCCTGAGTGGGTAGCGTCTATAATTTACCCGAAGCGAAGTCATTTAGAATGTTTTTAGAGCATAAACAGTAGTGTATAGGATTTCCTAAAAGCGCGTTCACGAGTCTACGGAAACCGCGGCAGACCAAACCAGATGAAAGTGCGCATTCAGCGTCTGCTCTGCCGATAATGCAAGCGTAGAAGAAGAAATGTGCTGTTTACCTGTGCAAAGAACCTCGTGCTCACCTGGCTCACGGCAGAAAATAAACAGGTGAAAAGCGGAACTTCTTCTTCTACGCGTGAACGCGCTTTTAGGAAATCCTATACACTACTGTTTATGCTCTAAAAACATTCTAAATGACTTCGTTTCGAGTAAATTCTGGACGCTACCCACTCAGGACACTTGGAATACATTGGACGAGCAGTATGGAGGAATATTGACACGTTTTTTGTGGACTTTTATGGACCTTTCTGCCTCGGGCGCCATAGACCTCCATTATTTGAATGTCAGCAGACAGCAAGAAGCCTCCCAGATCTCCAGATGCATTTGAGATATCAAAAAAGTACTCCAGAGTGTTTTTCAGCATGGGGGTGAGTAGAAAATGAAGGCTAATCATGTTTTGGGTGTACTATTCCTTTAACCAGAGACTGAGAAACACAACCTAAACATGGCTGAGTGAGGGGGGGGGGTTAATTTCATTTTACAGCTGACCACATCAGAAATCTGCTCCGACAGTAAGTGAGTGCATACATTCATCGGCCCCAGAGGCACCGCCTGGGAAATTCAATAATCAAAACACAATCACACTGTTGATGCTTTCCTAATGATGGTTGCAAGGACGTTTAATTGAGAAGAACAGTGAGTCAAATGCATTTAGGCACCAAATATAAAATACTTAGATGAAGGAAGTGTAGGAAGTGAAGCGAGGAGATAAAGAGAGACGGAGAGGAAGGAGATAAGAGACAGCAGGAGATGCAAACCGACAGCGATGGGGAGACGGCGTGGGACTCACAGGAGCAGCACAGGCCCTGCTTGCGGACGCCGAGCAGCATGGTGTGGCAGAAGTTACAGTAGGCGGGTTTGTTGAAGTGCTTCAGACGCCAAACATGCTGGCCGTCCTCCTGCACATTCTGACAGATCACAACACAACATGGGACTCTTTCAGCTCCTTCTCCACTCAGGGCTACTTAATACAAAGGAATCTTTATGCAGGAAGATGCTCAGAAAATAAAAATATGCTCTCTAGAGCAGCAATGATTTGGATTAGTTGTGACCATTAATAAAACTTATTTTAGAGGTTTTATATCCAAAGTGAAAAAGGAAAAAAACAGTTAACAGTGTCTCATTTTAAGCAGGTTTTTCTTTTTCAGGCTGAGAAGGAAAACATTGCTTTGCTTCTTTGATTTGAGATATTGAAATACAACAACAAAATGTACCGTTTCCATGCCCAGCAGGACCAGTAGAGGGATGGTGGTGAGGCCTCCTCTGATCCACTCCTCCAGTGTGACCGTCCCGTCTCGGTCATAGTCAATTTCTTCCATCATCTCCTTCAGTATCTAAAATTCAGTTAAATTCAGTTTATTTCTATAGCGCCAATTCACATCATGTCATCTCAAGGCACTTTCCAGTTCAACCAGATCATCCATCCAGATTGATTAGAAGTTTTCTATCTAAGGAAAACCAGCTGATTCCATCGACTCATTGACTCTTCAGCAATCCCTCACACTAAGCATGCTTGTAGCGACAGTGGAGAGGAAAAACTCCCTTTTAACAGGATGAAACCTCCAGCAGAACCAGGCTCAGTGTGAGCGGCCATCTGCTGAGGCCCACTGGGGTTCAAGGAGACAGAAGCAGACATAGAAAAAGAAGCATAGATACAAAAGGCAACTGTCAACCAGCTCCACAGACTTAAAATCAGGCTAAAATCAGTGGGGAATGCAATTCTGCAGCCTAAGTCTAACAACAAACAGGTTAAACTATTTTACAATAAGAAAAACTAAAAATTGTGTAACTAAGTTACATAAGTGTAATAATAAGTGTAACTTATGGTCGATAATTTTTTTTCCTCTCCATCTTTCCTCATTTAATGGTGGTTGATGACCACCTCAAGGTGTAATAGTGCCACCAACTGGTAAGGATCATCATGGGTTGTAGATTCCTATGTGTAAAGTTGTGATTCGTATTCATAAATGTGTGACTTGTATTTGTTTCCTTGCAAAGTTCTCATGTGTATTTATAACTTTTAAAGGAAAAGTCCGCTCATATTCAGAATTCAAACTTCTAAAAGTTCTTTAAATATGAATTTATTGCATACTTTTCAATAAATGATCAGTGTTTTTAATTCAGAGTAATTTTCATGTGAATGTGCTTTACTGGAGGCATCCATGTTTGTCAAAGAACACTACTGCCACCTACTGGTTAGTGACGTCACGGTGCGGTATCGGCTGTTGATCAAGTCCCAGTGCTGTATCTGGTGATTGTCACAACGCGCTATTATCCAAGTCATCTTGAAAACATTCTTCTTCCAAATGTTGGCTACATATTACGGGTTTTTTCTCTGGCCAGAAGTTCGATGGCAAATCCTCCCTCTTCAAGTTGGCGATCCAACGACCAACCCGTCCGTGGAGGATCAGGAATCAGAAAGGTGGAATAACTTTTTTCACTTTTACCCGATGTATTCCAGCATCCAGCTGCCATGCACGTGGGCATTGTCAGTTTCACTATAGCTCTGGTGAATTTCAATGGTGAAGTCCTCTGGAAATCTTCAATAGTTGTTGTTGATTGCAGATGTGTCTAGTAGTTCCCATTGATTTTGCTTGTAAAGCGGGCAGAATGGCGCTAGGCTTACCGCACCGTGACGTCACTGCTGAAAAATGGCAGGAGGGAGGGGTTACTATATTTGGGAAAAAATGGCCGCTCCCAGACTCAGTGATTGCAACGAAAATGACGCTAAATTCATTAAATCACGGCGAACGTATTTTAGGTATAAATAATGATCCATTGATCATTCCTTGCTCTCTTCTCCAAAATGAAAATCCGTTTCTCAGTTGGCGAATACAACAAGAATCAAATACAAATGTGACATTTATTGAAATTGATTTACATTGACAAATTCTGACATCTACAAAGATGTTATTTACTGACAATTTTCCCTGTAACATTTGCCAAAATCATATTTAATTTTCAGTTCAATCCAATTCAGTTTATTTATATTTAAAGCACCAATTATGAAAACTTTTCATCCCACTGCTCTTTACATAGACAAAATATCTTATAATAATTAATGATCTTTTGGAAAAAGTGATGTATAATACGAATTCTTCCATTCTTTGTTATACATTGTTTTAAAATCGTGATATTCTGCTTTAAGTCTTTCGCTTAAAGCTTCTGCTGACAATCATGGACGATAGAAGGGAAGGGAGCCTGGTTCTTTTTCTAACATTAGTAGCAGAGGAGAGTGTTTACTGACCGGTCGCAGCTCTGTTGAATCCCACTCCAGATATTCGGCCACGTGCACCATCTGATTGATGATGCGATCGAGCTCCTGGGGAAAAAGAGAAGGAATCAAAATGGACGGATGGAAACTGTTGCTCCATCTTCAAGATCTGCTTTGTTTCTTGTTTCATGGTAAATGGAATAGAATAGAAAAGAATAGAAAAGAAAAAAAGAATAGAATAGAATAGAAAAGAAGAATAGAATAGAATAGAAAAGAAAAGAAGAAAAGAATAGAATAGAAAAGAATAGAATAGAAAAGAAGAAAAGAATAGAATAGAATAGAATAGAAAAGAATAGAATATAATAGAAAAGAAAAGAAGAAAATAATAGAATGGAATAGAAAAGAAAAGAAGAAAATAATAGAATAGAAAAGAAAAGAATAGAATATAATAGAAAAGAGAAGAAGAAAATAATAGAATAGAAAAGAAGAATAGAATAGAATAGAAAAGAAAAGAAGAAAAGAATAGAATAGAATAGAAAAGAAAAGAAGAAAAGAATAGAATAGAATAGAAAAGAAGAATAGAAAAGAAAAGAAGAATAGAATAGAAAAGAAAAGAAGAATAGAATAGAAAAGAAAATAAGATAGGAATAGAATACAATAGAATAGAAACGAAGAAAAGAATAGAATAGAAAAGAAGAATAGAATAGAAAAGAAAAGAAGAATAGAATAGAAAAGAAGAAAAGAATAGAATAGAATGGAATTGAAAAGAAGAATAGAATAGAAAAGAAGAAAAGAATAGAATAGAAAAGAAGAAAAGAATAGAATAGAATAGAAAAAGAAAAGAAAAGAAAAGAAGAAAAGAATAGAATAGAATAACCCTTTATTGGGTTACAGAGGCGAGTGAGTGGCAAAGGAAATAGGCAATGAAAGCATACAGGGCTAAACAGATCCATTAACAGTGATCTTATGTAAACATGCAGAGTTCACATGGTGTTCAGGTTTCTATTCCTGGAGCTGCAGGGCTCAGAGTGACGGAGGCAGAGACACCGAGAAAAGGAGGAACTTTGACAGAATCCACTCACTGAGCTGTCCAGCACGCCGTTCCCGTCTGTGTCGTACAGTCGGAACATGACTGGAGGAGGGGGGGAGAAGAGAAGAGAGATCCCATTAGAAGTTGGATCGTTTTCTCCTGGATTCTGGGATGATTTAGAGAGAGCATCTCCAGCAGCAGGGACCAGAGAGCAGAAATCAGCCCTGTCATATGGAGGGAAGTCAGTTTGGTTCAGCAGCTAAAGGATGAAATGATCCACCAGCATGAGGGAGGAGTTACTGAGGCCCAGGGCAGCGAGGAACAGCTGCCTGAGCTGAAGGTTCATACGTCATGATTTACACTAGAACACAATCCATCATCCATCCATCCATCCATCCATCCATCCATCATCCATCCATCCATCCATGCATGCATCCATCCATCCATCCATCATCCATCCATCCATCCATCCA